AACCTTAACGGAGAGTATGCACAGTCTGAAGTGACTAGTTATAAATGTCCGTATTGGTATCGCTGGACGAATGGATATAAAGCACTACAAAGGACTCTTATGATGATAAGACGCAAACGCACAAGTTGATGTTTATTAATCAGGTTGACAGCCAGCGCTCAATCACTGATCCAAATGCATTGAGGACTAGACATTTATCCTGTTTCTGTACGAAATCTCTTGTCTCTGTTTGCTTCCGTGCAAAAAATACATCTTTTGTCTCTTCATCTTTAAGTGTTGTTCTAGTTTATGAGAAAATGTCACTCAAACCTCTCTCTCAGAGAGATAAAATGATATTATGCAGGACATACAGTTCTATCCGCTAATACAGTGAGATGTAGAAATAATTGGAAAGTGGTCTGTGGTTGTTTATGACAATAGCTGTATCTAGATGTTATTTAAGACATACACCACGACTCTTTAAAAGTGAAGGCAATGTATAGAAATTGTAACAATCACTTCTTCTGGCCTTTGTTGGAAGAAGTTATTTTTAAGAGTATGAACAAGTATTAGTCTTTATTCCAGAACCAGCCCATTTGACACAACGCCACATACAAATTCTTCGTGACATTTGGTTAAAATTACCCAGGCGTTTGATCTGTAAATGCTTCCTCTGTAGTCGTTATAGGGGCTTGAACACAGATTTGAAGTTAATATTTTCCAAAGCTTTCAGTATAATATAATGACTTATATGTTGCTTGAGCATTTCATGCCGAAATATAATGAAAGCGTGTTTAGAAACCTCTACCATGAGTTTATTAAAACTAATATTTTCTGGAAGAGTTTGATCGACACATATTCTTGCACTTTCACAAAGTAAACTGTAAGTTCAAGCATTTAAGAATAGAAATTTAAAATGTAAACAATGCATGATAGATCTTCGTGATAATTTTGACTTGCATATATTTGATCTTTGTATAACGCTGAACACATCACTACTGTTTAAACGTTTTAGGAGGGGTCATTCATTGATCTCGGGCCCAGTATTTCAGATAATTGTATAACATTTACAAATAAAGAATATATACATCTTTTCTCTCTTATATTATATATTCAAAGAGCACTGATAAGGCCTGCTTATTTTTACATACTGAACGAGTACTGCCTTGTTCAACGATGTACAATATTGAGGTGTTCATTCAACTCTCAATTTTGCTACAGTTGGTCAACAAAATCAAAGTTTAGTTCCTTTGTTAATAAAGAAATAATGAATGATACATTCTCTATATACATACATTTTTTTTTTTTTTTTTTTTTTTTTTTTTTTTTTGTTATAGTTGTCCTGTAAATTACATCGTTTATCCAATCCTTTATTCCATCCGTATACAGTGTTAAATAAAAAAAAACTTCCTTTGTAAAATTTAAAATAAATTTATGTTTCGAAGAGCTTCCTAGAATCAAAACTTTAAACAAACACTTTAAAGTGCAAAATTTGTTTATCGATAACTTTAAAATAAGATGAGAAATCTAATGATAGAACTGCATTAGGGTATGAAGAACATTACTAAACAAGTAAAATTGAATAAATCGACCGCAAAGTAATTTAGGATTTTAAAAAGTAGTTTTGCAAATAAACATTTAAGGAAAGCGCAAGATTTTCAAAGTTAAATGCGCACATTTTTATTTTAGTCTTCAAAGAAAAAAGTCATGAATTCCAAGAAAAGTAGACATTTCAGTTCATTTGTTCAACAAATTGATTCATCGATGTGAAAATCAGTGATCACTGATAAAAGGTATTGCCGTCAAAATGAAGATAGGGCTATTTATATCCAGATCTCCAGGGAACCACATCTTTTGTCACGTGATGATGCCGATGATTTCTGCAGACTGTGCTACAGGTGGCGTTGATGGATAACACAATAAATGCAAAGTACGAGTAGAAAAAGTATCTTTGAGTAAATCACAGCTGTTGAATATTCTAAACATTTTTTAATAGTTTTTTCAACTTTTTAATTTCTAGCCATCCCTTTTACCAATCAAATACTGAAATTATTATCTGGAAAATCATATCGGTTATGTTCATATCTTGCTTACTTCTATGTTAGGGAGTTTCTATTTCAAAGCCTATTATATGAAAATTAATTAATAATTATCTGATGAGAAATAAAAATTAAATTGAATAATAATAATAACTAGAAACTCATTGCGAGCAATGAGAGGTCTTCCGTCCGATTTTGAAAATAAAAATGTAAATTCAAGCTGAAAAAGTGACACTCTGGAGATTTAACACTGGTCGTCAGCGTGAGAATCCAACGTGCTAACCATTACGCCATTTCAACTCCCACTTCAAAGTGAAATTGACAAATATCAAGAGTTTGGATTTATAATGTTGAAAACGTAAATTTAAGCAAACAAATTCGGGATTAAAACCAGATCGCCTTCGTGAAAATTCAATATGGAAGCCACTACACCAGCGCAATTTTACCAGCCATCATCAATGTTTACTTTGTATCATTGCCTGAAGTAACGAGCGTCAGGAAGGTTAAAAGTTTTTTTATATAGTGCGGAATTATAGAATGAGAGCTAGCTAGCCAAATTTTATGCAAGCAGATTCACATCGGAATTCGTTACTTGAGTTTAAACAATAACAAATAATCTATTACTGATGATACTGTTTACTTCCTTTATTCTTTGTGTATTCAACTTTTTCTTCCATGCAATTCCATATATCTGTATTTCATACAAACGTGTCCGTGTAATCTTTTTCTGCACTTCTACATGTACATCAGACCACTTTTCTACTATGAAAGAAGAGTCACGATACATTACGCCACGAGTAAATCGTCGCGCCTTTTCTTTGAAATATATGTTCTATTGAATGGTCTCCATTCTCATATATATTATTGTATGTACCGTACAAATTACTCAGAGTATTTATATTTTCAAAGGCAGATTATCCATTTCATAATCTGAAAGATCCAACAATTCCTTCATATTTCATTGATCCTTATGGTAGTTTCGTTCAACAAGAAGCTCGGATGTCTCCGTAAACTCCAACCTGCCAATCCTCGACTGACTCCGCTTCGCTCCATACAAACCTCGGAAGTGATTGGTGGAGAAATATGCATCATATCGATTACATTTCTCCGCCGGAAACTGCCTTTTAACTCATTTCATATTTTACTCTGCATAAAGTTCTTCAAACATTCTTTTTCTCTTGTCTAATTCTTCCTTGGATATTGGTTTTGATCACAACATCATGTAAGTAGTCTTTGAAAGCGAACCATAGTGTTGGGCGTCCTTGTTACTCAGACTTCAAAGGTATAACATTTGGAGGAATTTCAAATAAGATCACATGACTGTATCAGCAACATGGTAGAACACCATTGACGTCCGAGGTTAGTGTGCGAGGAACGAGCCAACCGAGGAGCTCCGAGTGCCGACCTGCTCGTCGGAGTTTGCGAAGACAGCCGCCATTTTGAACCCGCTTCAAATTTTTTAAATGCGAATATCTAGAGTTTAGATTGATCAATTTGAAAACAAATTATATATTAAGCATTTCCAGAAGTGCCTCTATTAACACTACTACTATCAAAGAAAAATATTGATAATCAAAAACGTTTTAAAAAATCAAAATTAAATTCGCACCTGGTAACGACCGGAAGTAATGACGACGAACGAAAAGTCACGTCCTGGCTAGTATTTACCACGATCTATAATCTCTGAAAGTTTCACATTGAAATCTTTTACCGTTCTTGAGATTATCCGCGGACAAAATGTCATTTTTAAATTCAGAAAATGGTCCGTAACTTGGCACCGGAAGTAAATTTCCAAATTTTCTCTCAGATAAAATAACTTCAGTTTACAACACATTGTTCCTGCAAATTTCATGTAAATCCATCAAGTAGTCTTCGAGAAATCGCGTGCACAAAATTAGATGGGCGTAAAAATAATAATAAGAAGAAACAATAGAATCACTATAATGTCTTCCGTGAAGACGGAAGACCCTAACAATGAAAACTTAGTTTAAAGCGAGATAGATAGTTAACTCATAATTTTTATGCACGTTTTCACTAATGAATTATTTTAATGAACTACTAAAGAAATAACTTCTCAATTCCCCATGTGCACTTTCTAACACAACTACAAATAGATCGGTCGCTGCTGCGGCGGATAATAAGTAATTTGAAAAAAATAGAACTTTTTTCCAGCTCGACGTCCTTCCCTTCTTAAATAGGCATTTTTGCCTGTTGTCTATTCCATTTCCTTAAAGCTTAGAAATTAATACGATTTGTTTAAATTAAGGTATCCGATCCATATTAGGACCTAATATTCTGACTTAAATATCTATCATGTTTAAAATGCTCTGATATTTATTTAAAGCATTTTAGAGTTGAAAAGAATTAAAAAAAAATTTTTTTCAAGAATTGTAATTACCAAAGCACAAAATAATCAATGAAGATTACATTGAGGTCTATGGGGATAAGAAAATTTTTGAAAATAAAAAAAAGAAATCCTAAGAATATCAATAAATGCTGTGATGGAAAGATGTAATAATAGAAAAAAAATGATTGACGACTAGTGTGTTACCAGAGAGACAACATTACGTAAAGCGGACGCTTGCGTAAGTCTTGACAGATACCAGATTTTATCTGTTGATGACAACTATCTTACATACAAATACCAGCCAGAATCATTCCAAGAAAAAGATATAACGCATTTCTTCTGTTTTTTAACCATAAAAATATAGTTAATGACTCCTTAACTCAGTGTATCATTAATTTGCCTTGGAATAAAGATATTGCGTAGATGTTGTATCATATATATCTGATTACGTCCATGTCTTGGCACAAGAAGTAGGATAAATTAGCCGGTATTTTCTGTAGTTTATATAAACCCCAATTCCTTGTAGGAATATCTCAGTCTTGACTTGCAATCAATGAAATCTTTGTTACAAAAATGCATATTCTACAAAGTCTAGTGTGTCTTATACTTTTCCTGAACGTCGTACAAGTCTCTGCTGACAGTAACAATCTAGAGAAATCTATTTTGGACGGGAGTACGACGTCCGGAGGAAAAGTATCCAGTGTTTTACCGGACATCCTTAACCAGGAGAGCCTAGTGAGGTTTTCTCTGGTTCAGAGAATTCAAAACTTAGTGATGGATGTCATAGACAACGAAAACAATTCTCAAATGACGAAGCAGAAACTGAAAATCTTGACAACGGAATTAAAAGATTTGGAGACAAGAGACAACGGAATAGAAACAGAGGTTACAAAACTTATACAAGTGTTACAAGCATTAAATGAGACAGTAAGAAATAATCAAGATAAGACAATGGACAAAGTTCAAGATCTGAAAGAGGAGGAATTAGTTTTGATAAAAAAAACAAACGTCAGTCCTCCAAGAAGAAAGTCGAGAATTATTGGCGGAAAACAGAGAAATGAAACATCAGTTGGAGATGCAAAACAAGACCATTACACGGTTGAACTTTTCTTACAATGTCTTGCAGGAAGAAATGAAGCAAATGAAAAATAGAGAACTGGATGTCAGAAATAAAACCAGAGAAATGTCAACATATAATGATTTATATAGAGAACAACTAAATGACGTCAACAACGCTCTGAGAGAACTTAAAGGTTCCCTGTACGAGGGTCGATTTCAAAAGATGGAAAATACCTTTAAGAATTATTCTAAATCTATCAATGAGACACTGGATAATTTACTTGAGGATCATAAAGTTCTAAAACTGCAGGTTTTGAACGTCTCCTCTTCTCTATCCGATGGTAAGTTATATGTTTATTAACCATTCCTTTAAAAGTGTAGTTAATATTCCTCTTATAGTGTTGTAATGTACTAATTTTGATTTACTTCCTCATTAGATTGTTAGCAATATAGTGTCAGTCTTTACGGCACAACGAATTCACAAGTTGGAACGTGTATTTGATAACAATTCTACGTCATTTATATTTTATATTTTACGGAGCTTAGATCTGTTACTCATATTTTGTCTTGAGAATAAATATTTTCCTTGTGAACTATAGAACTAGTTTATAAGTTACTGAACACGTTTTATTGTCTGTATATAACTTCGCTTACTAAATACTGTAGTTCTTATTGATAAAAGTATTTCCCCCTTTAGTAATAATGGTATGTAAAATAAAACGTTGAAATGTTATACAAATCTTTTGTTATGCTTGATAAAACGTGTTCTTTATATTCGATATTTAGTTATTCATGTTCGAAAACTCATTATTCATATTCATAAACTCGTGAGTCATATTCCAATCTTTTGATTTATTTAATAAGATTTGCGAAATCATGATATTGGAAATCTTGATATGTACATATACATGTATCTTTGAAAAACCTGGTATTCATATAAAAAATGATTTCATTTTCGATAATTTTGTTATTTGTATGTCAAATGTTGATGTATATACATATATATTCGAATACGTTTTTATATGCAAAAATCTGAGATAAAGTTTGATAGTCTCGAGATTTATATGCAAAAAGTTTATATCCATACTTGTGAAGTCATTTTGCATATTGATAACACAATTTTTTCATTTAAATCACAAAATTATCAAGCACATATATAATTCAAAAAACTAACAAATAAAAATCATGATTTCGGATATAAATAAGGAGTCTTCAAATATGAATATCAACTTTTTAAAAAATTAAAAAATTTCGTAAATAAATTGCAAGTTAACGAATGTATGAATATTATTTATTGAATATAAATCACAAAATTAGAAATAAGAATTTGAATCACAAGTTGCTTTTTTTTTTATTTGAATAATCATCACACAACAGAACCGCTGTACACGCAATAGGTATCTATAAATTTACATATTTTTTTGTGTGTTTTTCAGCCACTCATGACTGTTCTTATATAAACACTTTTTTGAACCTCAGATCAGATGAGGATAGGAATAGGAAATATAAGCGCAGTTTTCTGTTTGGCGACAACATATCTGCTCACAGGATCAAAACAATGCATGAGCATGAGTAGAACATCTTTCAAAGAAAAATATTCGGTTTGGAATAGAATTTAAAAATAAAACTGTACCATGTGACACTAGATGACGGTTTAACAATTCGACAAAAAGGTATCAATTGTACTGGACTTGCGTTGATAAATGTTTATATTTCTCCTTTTTATCCTTTACTGTCATGTTCATGCACTGCCTAATACCACAATGTCTGTCTTGTTTATTTCTGAATTTTCGTATAAAACAAATGACCATTCCTTTTATTCACATGTGAAGCATATTTTTACGTGCAAACTGTGTTGTTTTACTGTGACTGAATCATTCAAGTTTGACTTCATTTTTCAGTTCAATCAAAAGTGTTCCCAAAGGATTGCTACAATATTCATGAACAAAACAAGTGGCTGAAACGAAAAGATGGTGTCTATAATGTAGTAATCAATTCTGACATCACCTCCGTCTTTTGTGACATGACTACAGATGGAGGCGGATGGACGGTGAGTACAAATAGGTTATCCAATACAAATAAGTATTTTTGTGTGTGTGTGTATTCGTGAATGTTTATATGTAAGTATGTGTGTATACGTGTATATTTATATGTAAGTATGTGTGTATGCATGACCTGTATGTTTATATGTTTTGTTTGTTTATTGTTTAACGTCCCTCTAGAGAATTTTTCACTCATATGGAGACGCCACCACTTGCCGGTGGAGAGCTACAAATTTTGACCTATACTCGGCACTTAGGTCCATTGAGCAGTGAGGGATCTTTTTCGTGCCAGCACCTACTGCGACACGGGACCTCGGATTATACGGTCTCATCCGAAGGACCGGTCTCCACGTCCCACATTGGATTCGAACCCGCGACGTAATGGTCAACTCCTTACTCCGCGACTCTAGAGCAAACGCTCTAATATGTTTATAATACATGTATATACTTAAATGTTTATATGTTATACATCGACAACACCTGGAGAGAGGTCTTCTGTGACATGACGACAGATGGAATGGGATGGACGGTGAGTATTGTGTTTTATTGTCAATGTTATACATCGACAACATCTGAAGAGAAGTATTCTGTGACATGACTACGGATGGAGGAAAGTGGACGATGATAGTGTTTTCATTTTTTTTAACCAATGCCATGTACTTGATTGGGTGCCCTTTAATAAGGAAGTTATTTACTGAGGATTTGTGAAACTAAATTATAAAAACAAAATTATATACATTTATATATTTAACATACATTATAAAACTATCCTTTAAAACTCAACAAAACTTTATGATTAAAGTCATTACGAGGAATTTTTATCCAGATGTAAAGCAGTTTCAAAAGCGATGTAGTCATATTAATCCTCGATATATTTTATTATTGCTTACAACGTAATCGAAAACCACATACCGTAGCTGGTAACAAAGCTAATTGCTAGAGTTCCTTTGATAAATACACTCGTTTTAACATGTAGGTGACAATTCTTCTTGGCCCCTGCATTCACATTCTTCCCGATAAGGGTATTGGCCACTGATTGTTCATGCTTCGCTGACTAGATGCGGGCTAACTGTTAATGGAAATTACTTAATACATATACATTTCATTAATCATTAACACATTTTATGCAGGGTGTTTAGTAGTAAATTTGGAATTTATTGAGATTAAATAAGGTCTGGTATTTAACAATGAAATATGGGAAACGAACAGAAATCAAGCTCCAGACTCCAGTGGAACAATGCGGATAGGGAGCAGAGCAAACACGGTCCTCTAAAAACCACCAGAGGTGGGATCAGGTGCCATGAAAGAGTGAGCATCCCCAGAACCGGTCAGGCAGCTGTTTGCTCTTTGTCATGAGAAAACGGACAAATCCGTAGACAATTAAGTGTGAAAATAATGGCCTTTATATTTGTACAAAAAAAAAACATAAGCCAACATTCAACATAACTAGACACTAAATGAGCTACCAATTTTCAAAATGTTGAATTGAAACGAGACTTGATATCCTTGTATCATCAACTTATTTGCCAATAGCTTACCTCGCTTCACAAAACGTGACTGTGCATATCAAATCAACTGAAGACTTCAACTCAATATGCAGGAGAAAATGATATATTGCTTCATAAATAAAGGAATATGACGATAGATAATGTAAAGACACCACGTTTGTCATGAGGTTTTGTTGATAGTATACAATATCCTTCTCTGGTGAAATATCCAAAAATGAAACAGATGTGTCAGGCTCTGTGTTTCTTTTTTCTTTTTTTTTTTTGACTTCAAAAGGAAATATCCAATCAAGGTACGATTGAATATGAATATTATTATTTTTGATAAAACGTCGTCGATATCTGTAATTACCGAATTAAAGGCTTCAACATCAAACTTCTTTCTCATTTAAAAGTTTTTGAAAACATTCTGCTTCATATGAATACTAAAATAGGCTTATAACGGAACACAGTTAGTATCCATGAGAATTTTAACAGATTGTTGGAAGACGTGATGTTCTTCGGAGTACTTCAATGTAAATTAGAATGTTTTAGTCAATTAATTTTGCAGATGAACAATTTATTGCGTTTGTAGGACACAAGAGCTAATTCAGAGAAGACTTTTTTTTTCATCTTTTGGAAAAAAAAATGAAATTTTACAGGAAAATAACAGAAATATTTTGGGGGATCTTAGTCGAATTCCTTTGGCAATTGTCAATTAAATTGTCAATTAAATATTTTGTCCTATTCAAGTGTTTGTATTGTCTGTAGATTTCATATTTTCAAAAATAAAACTAAATCTTATCCCCCATTTCCCCTGTAAATCAATTATTTTACATATAAGGTATAGAAATAGGTTTATCTATAATTAAACGGAGAGATTGATATCGTATGAATATCAAACATTCAGATAATCTTGGAGAAAGCAATCATGTAAAATATGTTTTCACATATCTATGATAATTTACTGGTATTAAACAATGGATTTCTGTTAACAGGTCATTCAGAAGCGAGAAGATGATGACGTTGATTTTTATAGGACATGGAACGAGTACAAACATGGATTTGGGAATGCCTCTAAAAATTACTGGATAGGTAGGTCTGTGTAATTTCTTTTTGTCAATATATTTGTATTTAAATAACTCTAATTCATTATCACTGAAATCCACTTCACATAAAATTATAACGCATTCATATATCATCAAACTTTTAAGTAATTTGGATTATAAGCCCTCAATATTGGTTTTCAAAGCAACATTTTGTTTAAAATATGATTAAAAGTTATGAAAAAATTATTTGCAACGAAGGAAGCGCAAAATATTGGAATAATTAAAGAAGCTATACTTTTTTGAATTAATGATATCAATATACTTTAAAGAAATGAAATATATTTATATATATATATATATTTACAGTAATTGTTTACTTTCAATTTCAGAGGACATTTAATTCGACACTTCTTGATCTTTTTAGGTTTAAGTCCACTTCTCTTTTCGATAATGACTTATAACATTCTGTCAATGTCCTTTTCTCCACAAAATGTATTTTAAGAATTAGTCTTTATTCTTGATGAAAAAGAAAAGAAATCAGTTCTAAATCAACAGTTCTTTCATCTATTTTTATACAATTGTATTATAGGGAATGATGCAATCCATGCTTTAACCAAAGATCAGGACCAGGAACTGCGAGTAGATCTCAAGAGATTTAATGGGGACACAGCGTATGCTGAATATTCCACCTTTTATATCGGAAACGAGGCTGATAAATACCGACTCACAGTAACCGGGTACAACGGAACAGCAGGTATGTTTTGTCATTGTAATAATGTATTTTACAGCTCTGTTGCATTCTTTGTTCATTTTTTATTCAAAGATTTTAAGGTTAACCTCCAGCAGCATATTATATGTGGAAATTGCTGATTTTTTAAAAAAAAAATATTATTGTTATATTATAACAAACATCAAGTCATTTCAGCCAATTACAGCAATAATCATAAAAACATTCCTATGATTAGTAATTAATCGTCCTATAAATCTATCTATGGAACATCATTTACGTTAATGAGTATCGATTTTATAAGAGTAGACATGATTATACGTATATGAATAATGGATTTGCTTCCAGAGTAAAGTTTGAAACACAAATCTTAATTTCATTTGCTCTGCTTAGATAATGTAAATAAAAGAAATATCAAATTCTGTATTTTCATACTTATTAGTTAAGTACTGAATTTCAATCTTTATTTATTATTTAGTTTGATTTACTCATTTGTGATAGATATAGACTAGAATTCATATTATAATTATCTTGCTTTAATTAAGAATATTTTTTTCTAATATGAAACAAGTTAATTTAGTCGTGACAAATGTGCTTACAAAATCCTAAAGGCAGTATCCATATCTTCAATGAAAATAAATATTAAATACGCAAAGTATTGAGATAACAAATAAAACGATCGTAAAAAAAAACCTTCAAACAGAATTGAACAAATCTGTGAATAGGGCATAAAACACGGAAGTCTGAAAATTATAGAGTTGGAATTAGATACCTAGGAGGAGTAAACATCCCTTGGTAACCAGTCACAGCCACCGTGAACCCTATGTATTGATCAGGTACACTGAATTTTCAGTAGCCAAGTTTAGGATAAAAGCAAAGGCAATACAATTGGTTAAACATGTCAGTCTGATTTTGATCTAAAGATATGAAAAAATGCTTGTTGATTTTAAAGGAGGTTGTTGTTATTGTTGAAACATCAGTTTATCTTTCAGTATCCTGGCTTTTTTATTTAAATAGCATGGAAGAGGGTTTCTTTATGAAAATGAATTTCTTTGTGCTTTCTACATGTTTTATATTAATTTTTTTTTTCACTAAGCGCAGTTATGTTACTTAAAGAGTTGTTGTAAAATGTCCTTTATCAAAAAAAATTAATTTCACTACAAAGTGAATCGGTAACAATCCTATAATAAAACTAATGTTCAAATAACTGTATCTCACTTTCATTCTCAATGACCGTGTAGTGTATGCGGCGCCGCGAGAATTCCATCGGAATCGAAAACAAGTTTAAGTGACTTGCCTAGATGGCCAAGCGGTCTAGCGTGCTGTTCCTGTACTGGTAGGAGACAGATATAGTAGGTCGAAAGTTCAACCCCGGGTTGGGAAGGACACACACACACACACACACACACACACACACACACACACACACACACATATATATATATATATATATATATATATATATATATATATATATATATATATATAGTGTTTATCAACTCCTTTACTGTTCATTATTTCTACATGTATTTTAGTTATTGTTTCCAATTCCTGCTCTAGGTGACAGTTTGGATCCTCATAATGGTATGAGATTCAGCACGAAAGACCAGGATAATGATATAGTTAGATATAGCTGTGCTAATTCACATCACGGTGCCTGGTGGTACTTTGCCTGTACCCACTCAAACCTAAACGGGAAGTATGCACAGTCTGAAGTGACTAGTTATAAATGTCCGTATTGGTATCGCTGGACAAATGGATATAAAGCACTAAAAAGGACTGTTATGATGATAAGACGCAAACGCACAAGTTGATGTTTATTAATCAGGTTGTCAGCCAGCGCTCAATCACTGATCCAGATTCATTGAGAACTAGACATTTATCCTGTTTCTGTACAAAATATCTTGTCTCTGTTTGCTTCAGTGCAAAAGATACTACTCTTATCTCTTCATCTTTAAGTGTTGTTCTAGATTATGAGAGAATGTCACTCAAACCTCTCTATCAGAGAGATAAAATGATATTATACAGGACATAAGTTCTATCCGCTAATACAGTGAGATGTAGTAATAGTTGGAAAGTGGTCTGTGATTGTTTATAACAATATGCCGTATCCAGGTGTTATTCAAGACACACACCACGACTCTATAAAAAGTGAAGGCAATGTATAGAAATTGTAACAACCACTTCTTCTGGCCTATGTTGGAAGAAGTTATTTTTAAGAGTATGAACAAGTATTAGTCTTTATACCAGAACCAACCCATTTGACACAACGTCACATACAAATTCGTCGTGACATTTGGTTAAAATTACCCAGTCGCTTGATCTGTAAATACTTCCTCTGTAGTCGTTATAGGGGCTTGGACACAGAATTGAAGTTAATATTTTCTAAAGCTTTCAGTATAATATAATGACTTATATGTTGCTTGAGCATTTCATGCCGAAATATAATGAAAGCATGTTTAGAAACTTCTACCACGAGTTTATTAAAACTAATAATTTCGGGAAGAGTTTGATAGACACATATAGACACATATTCTTGCACTTGCACAAAGTAAACTGTTAGTTCAATTCATAAAACTGATTTTTTTAATAAGCATAGAAATTTAAAATGTAAACAATGCATGATAGATCTTCGTGATCATTTTGACTTGCATATATTTGATCGATATCTATGCATAACGCTGAACACATCACTACTGTTTAAACGTGTTAGGAGGGGTCATTCATTTATCTCGGGCCCAGTATGTCAGATAATTGTATAACATTTAGAAATAAAGAATATATCCGTTTATTCTCTAGTATTATATATTTAAAGAGTTCTGATAAGGCCTGCTTATTTTTATATACAGTACTTGTACTGTCTTGTTCAACGATGTACATTATTGAGGTGTTCATTCAACTCTCAATTTTGTTACAGGTTGATCAACAAAATCAAAATTTAGTTCCTTTGTTTATAAAGAAACATTGAATGATACAACACATTCCCTACATGCATACAGGCTTAATTTTGTTATAGTTGTCCTGTAAATTACTTCGTTTATCCCATCCGTATGCAGTCTTTAATACAAAAACTTCCTTTGTAAAATTTAAAATAAATTTATGTTTCGAAGAGCTTCCTATTTTAATGCATTTTTTGTTTGCTCCTAGAATGATGGAACTATTAACATGAAGAATCAGAACTTCAAACAAACACTTTATAGTGCAAAATTTGTTTATTAATAACTTTAAAATAAGATTAGGAATCTAATGATAGAACTGCTTTAGGGTATGAGGGATATTATCTAACAAGTAAATTTGATCAAATCGGATGCAAAGAAATATAGGATTTAAAAAGTACTTTTGCAAGTGAACATTCAATGAAAGTGCAAGATTTTGAAAGCTAAAAGTGAACATTTTTATTTCAGTCTTCAAAGAAAAAAAAAACACGAATTTCAAGATAAATAGACATTGCAGTTCATTTGATCATCAAACTGATTCATCGATGTGAAAATCAGTGATCACTGATAGAATGTATTGCCGTCAAAATGGAGATGTACGGCTATTTATATTCAGTTCTCCAGTGAACCACGTGCTATTACCTGGATCTATTGTCACGTGATGATGCCAATGATTTCTGCAGCTATGCTGCAAGTGGCGTTAGTGGATAATACAATAAATGCAAATGTAGAAAAATGTCATTATGTAATTCGCAGCTGTAGTATATTCAAAACAATTTTTTACTATTTTTTTTTTTTTTTTTAGTTTTACCAACTTTTCAATTTCTACTCATCGCTTTTACCACTGCAATTATTAATCGGAAAATCTTAACGGTTGTGTTCATATCTTACTCATATTGCGGAGTATCTATTTTCATATGATAATAAATTAATAATTATCTGATGAGACAAAAAAAAAATAATAATAAATTGAATCACAATAATAACATTGATTGATTGATTGTATTTTGTTTTACATCCCATTCGAGAATTTAGAGACGTCACCATATATCGGAGAAGGGCTTCAAATTTGACCTTTACTCGGCACTCAGGGTCATTGAGCAGTGAGGGATCTTTATCGTACCACGCTTGGCGTGACACGGGGCCTCGCTTTTCAAGGTCTCATCTGAAGGACCCGCAACTTTCACTTCAAAGTGCCAAGCGCATGGCGAAGGAAGAATTGGTACCCATTTTTTATCGACTTAGGTGGCAGAGGACAGAGGGTTTTTTTGGCTATCAAAACGTTTGGCTGACGTTTTCCTTAATATTGTGCTGCTTGTAAAATGTGCAGAGGAAAATTTTAAATTCTCTCTACATGTAACATTAGTATGGTCTAGTCCCTTTAGGAATTTGAAGCTTTCAGAATAAAACATGTACAACTTACACATTGAGCCCAAATGATGGCACAGGGACAATCTCAAAATTTTAAATATTTAGGCTATTTTCACTATTTTGCCAGATCCGCAACAGCTCCCAGGCCCGTGCTAATGTCCTATGCCACCACACAAAATGCAGAAAAACACTTGTACATACCACTGAACAGCAAGGGATACTGGCTCAACCACCTCATTTTCAAGGTACAATTCATCATATGAACCCAAGCTTTTCTGAGGAAATCCCGGATGAGTGATTTTTGATTTTAGTTTCGTATTTCTAGTCCATATCCTATGAATAGTAGTAGTGACACTAAAGTGTCATATATCAATAAAATACAAAGGCCACCAATACCCTCCAAATGCACGCATAAAATATTCTAGCAATAAAATCACATATAATATGCATCTAAACTTTAGGTTTCTCTATTTTTATAATTTTTGACCTGTACTTAATCCGAAACTATCCTCTGCCACCTTAGGTCAGTCGCAGCCGAGATTCGAACTCACGACCTACCCAACACGGAGCAAGCGCTCTGCCGACTGAGCTACCTTAACGGTGTTAATAACAATGAAGACTTAGTTTAAAGCAGGTTCATATTTTTATGCACGTAATCATAAATGAATTATTTTGCTGATATACAAAAGAAATAACTACTCGTTTCACCATTTGCATTTTCTAACACAACCACAAATAAGTCGGCCGCTCCTGCGGCGGATATTAGATAATTTGAAAAAATAAAATGAAAAATATAACTTTATTTCCGCTCGACGTCCTTTCCTCCTTAAATAGGCATTTTTGCCTGCTGTCTATTCCATTTCCCTTGAGAAATTAATATACCAAGGTAATGGTTTAATTTAAGTATCCGATCCATATTAGGACCTAATTTTCTGATCTTAAATATCCATCATGTGTAAAATCCTCTCATATTTATTCAAAGCATTTTAAAATAGAAAAGGATTTACCAATAGAAATTTTCAAAAATGTAATTTCCGAAGCAGAAATTAATCAATGAAGATTGCATTGAGGTCTACGGGGACAAGTAAATTCTTGAAAATAAACAAAAATAATAAATTTTAAGAATATCAATAAACGCTGTGATGGAAAGATGTAAAAATAGAAAAATGATTGAAACTAATGTTTTACCAGAGAGACAACGGTACTTGAAGCAGACGCTTACGTAAATCTTGCCAGATACCAGATTTTATCTGTTGATGTCAGACAACTATCTTACATACAAGTACCGCCCAGAATCATTCCTAGAAGAAGGTATAACCCATTTCTTTTGTTTTTCAACTGTAAAAATATAGGTTAATGACTCCTTAACTACAATGTATCGTTAATATGCCTTGGAATGAAGATATTGCGTAGATGTTGTATCATATAATAATATATAATTACTCCAATGTCTTGGCACAAGAAGTAGGATAAATTAGCCGATATTTTCTATAGTTTTATATAAGCACCAATTCCTTGCAGGAATATCTCAGTCTTGACTTGCAATCAATGAAATCTTTGTTTTAAAAATGCATATTCTTCAGAGTCCAGTGTGTCTTATACTTTTCCTGAACGTCGTACAAGTCTCTGCTGACAGTAACAATCTAGAGAAATCTATTTTGGACGGAAGTACGACATCCGGAGGAAAAGCATCCAGTGTTTTACGGGACATCCTTAACCAGGAGAGCCTAGTGAGGTTTTCTATGGTTCAGAGAATTCAAAACTTAGTCATGGATGTCATAGACAGCAAAAACAATTCTCAAATGACGAAGCAGAAACTGAAAATCTTGACAACGGAATTAAAAGATTTGGAGACAAGAGACAACGGAATACAAACAGAGGTTACAAAACTTAAGCAAGTGTTACAAGCATTAAATGAGACAGTAAGAAATAATCAAGATAAGACAATGGACAATGTTCAAGATCTGAAAGAGAAGGAATTAGTTTTGATAAAAAAACAAACGTCAGTCCTCCAGAAAGAAAGTCGAGAATTATTGGCGGAAAACAGAGAAATTAAACAGCAATCGGAGATGCAAAACAAGACCATTACACGGTTGAACATTTCTTACAGTGTCTTGCAGGAAGAAATTAAACAAATAAAAAATAGAGAACTGGATATCAGAAATAAAACCAGAGAATTGTCAACAGAAAATGATTTATATAGAGAACAACTGAATGAAGTCAAGAACATTCTGAGAGAACTCAAAGGTTCCATGTATGAAGGGCGATTTCAAAAGATGGAAAATACCCTTAAGAATTATTCTAAATCTATCAATAATACACTGGATGGTTTACTTGAGGATCATAAAGTTCTAAATATGCAGGTTTTGAACGTCTCCTCTTCTCTGTCTGCAGGTAAGTTATATGTTAAGTAACCAGTCCTCATAAAGTATTGTAATGTACTTAATATTTAAATCGTTTTCCTTAGACTCCTAACAACATACTGTCAATCTTTATAGCACACCGAACTCACAGACTTAAATGATCTATGCATGATTTTGTATTTGATAACCAATCTCTGTGATTCTTATACTATATTTTACAGATGATCAAATAAAGTAAATGATTTGATAATCATAGGATTGACTTGTGCAACTTTATTTGATGATTTATCTTCATGAACTGAAAGTCTAGGTTATAAATTGCAAAACAAAATTACAATGTAATATTCCGTCTTCCGAGTTCACACTGACAATTTCTTATTGATGAAAGTATATTCTAGTTTCATAGCAAGAACTGACTTTTTTGTTCCCTGTTTTTGCTTTGTTTCTTCTCAGCAAAACTCATGGTTGTTCTTATTTTAAACCTCAGATCTGAGAAAGACAGGGACAGATTGGTGTTGTTTGTAATTTGGCCTCATCAAGTCTAAGAACCAATACGGCAGCATGAATAGAAAACCCTTCAGGGAAACAAATTTCGATTTTGGATTTTGAATAGAACCTAAAACACGTATCATGTGATTTGCACAAAATAATTTTGATCTTTCAGTTAACTTTTAGTCAAAAAGTATTACTTATGAAGAACTTTTAATGATAAAATTCGTGACTTTTTGAATTTACAATCGTGCTTGAGTAGTATATGTATTTTTAAATCTGTGTGGAAGTTAACGAGAATTGTCTTGTAAAAGCCATTTATCAACTTATCATGTAGCACTTAACTAAGAGAAACAAGGTAAAATCAAAGCAATATTACGTACCGTATCACCTTTAAGGACACTTGCTACAAATAAAAAAAGAATTGAAAGCATGGATTAGCATATATTTGGACTTCTCAGAAGCCTAACATCGGGATCCCTGGTTCAATTTTCGTTCGCAGCGCCGCCCGCATCAAACCTAGGACGTAAGGCGTTAACATAGGTAGTGACTCTTCCTTTGCAAAGCGTAGTATTGAAATGAAAGTCACGGGTCTTTTAGATTAGACCTTAAAAACCGAAGTCCCATGAAACGACAGGCGTTGGTACGAGAAAAAAAAAACCTCACTGCTCAAAGGCCCTGAGTGCCGAGTATAGGTCTAAATTTGAAGGCCTTCACCGGTATATGGTGACGTCTTTCAATGAGTTAAAAATTCTGAATAGGACGTTAAACAAGATACAATCGATTAATCAAAATCCTGAAATATTTAAAAAGTTGTAGATTTTTTTTTTATCAAAATCAAAATTCTAACATTTTGCCGTCCCTATAATAAATCTATCCAATTTTCTGAACGCATTTATAGGACATTTTTTGGAGGTTTTGGACTAAATATTGATTAAAAGTTATGTTGCAAAACTTTATGTACATACATAGATTTTGTATTCTTTTCCATTATATTTGAAAAAAAATAACATGTGGCCTAAACCTATATTTTCAGAACAACTGAGAATCATAAACTACATTTTTTTTTGTTTCTGAAATATATATATATATATATATATATATATATATATATATATATATATATATATATATATATATATATATATATATATATATATATATATATATATATATATATATATATATATATTAGGGATGTCAAATCGGTCAATTCTTGATAATCGATTACTCGGACGTTTTTCCGATCGAGTACCCGGGTACTTGTTAAAAATGTAAATACAAGTTTGTTAATTTTTAATTGTTAATTTGTTAAATCCAATAGCTGTTTTTATCACGTTTTATAAACGTACAGCATGGAGTCCAACGGAAATGAGTTTTGTTCTAAATAAATACATGTACAAAAGACACAATTAATACATCAAAAATTACAAATGGTTTACAGTTCTTGTTTAGGATCTATTTCATCAACGCAAAAGGAGGACAATCTGTTACGCAGGTTTGTGATGATTAGACTAGCGAAAGAGAAGGAATGGACGTTGTTTGGATCGTTAGTTTAATATTTTTTCATATATTGGTTGTTTACCCCCATGTACACTAAACTTACCATGTAAACTGACTTTAAACATTTTTTTGAATCATTACTTATTTTGAAGTGGGTAACGGCAATTCTATGCAAGTCCAATTTCGCTGCCGTATATTATAAGTAAATAATTTTAAAATGATCTGAAGATAATAGACCACGATTTTCACTGAAAAAACAATCATTGAAGCCATCAAAAAATTAAGGACCACAATAGGTGAGAACAGCTGCGTACCAGGTGACAGGTCACTAATTACTGTATAAACACCGCCATGGGCGATAACGGGTGTTTACATGTGTAGATGACGACACGCTAATTACCAGTATGCTTATTTAAGTTATTTTCTTATAAGTTTTTGATAAAAAATATGTACTTTGAAATAAGAAAAAATACACATCCGAGTAACCGACTACCATTTTTAGTATTCGATACTCGGACGTTCGATCGAGTACCCGGTTAACCGGGTACTCGTTGACATCCCTAATATATATATATATATATATATATATATATATATATATATATATATATATATATATATATATATATATATATATATATATATATATATATATATATATATATATATATATATATATATATATATATATATTGTAGTTAAATTAAAATTGCACTCGAAATCATGCAACGATATCTTGGAACAAAATAATACATTGAAAGGAAAAGATGGCGTCTATGATATTTTGATTAATTCAAACATCACTTCCGTCTTTTGTGACATGACTACGGATGGAGGCGGATGGACTGTGAGTATAAATAGATCACGTGAACATATTACTAAGAGAGAGGGGGGAGAGAGAGAACATGATTCAAAATTCATTTGTTAACTTTTAACTTGCATGATTAATCTTTCAACATATAAAGGAATACTTAAGTCCAACGTATGAGTTTATCATCTTTTTTGAATCGAATTTGTTAACTGTTGTTCTGTTCAATATTTAAGAAGCAAGAAAATTGTATTGTCAGAGGAGGAAATCACCACGTATCACCATGTATCAGTCACATATATAATTATGTATCATATATCGGACACATACTATTTATCAGTCACATATATAATTATTTATCATGTATCGGACACATACTATTAATCAGACACATATATAATTATATATCATGTATCGGTCACATCCCATTTATCAGAAACATATATAATTTTATATCATGTATTGGACACATACCATTAATCAGACACAAATATATAATTATATATCATGTATCGGACACATCCTACTAATCGGACACATATATAGTTATATATCATGTATTGGACACATACCATTAATCAGACACATATATAATTATATATCATGTATCGGACACATCTTATTAATCAGACACATATATAAATATATATGGCTTTGAGCCAGCCTCCGCAGACCCGATTTAACAAAGAAAAGCGAATCTAGGATTCAATTTGGGTCTGCTCACTTTAGGTTGTGTCTGGTAATGTCTGTAAATCCGTGTGTACTGTGTGTTTGTATATAAACATGTGAGTAAACGGGTATGTTTTTATGTAAGTATGTTTGCATACGTGTATGTTAACATGTAAGTTTGTGTGTATACATGTATGATAATATGTACGTATGTGTGTATCCATGTAAGTTTATATGTGAGTATGCGTAAAAGGCGTAAAAGTGTATGTTTATATGTAAGAACGTGTGTATGCATGTGTGTTTATATGTAAGTATGTGTGTATACGTGTATGGTTATATGTAAGTATGTGTGCGTACGTACATGTTTATATGAAAATAGTGTTTATGTTCGAATTTTATGTGTATTTATATGTACGTTTCTGTGTATGCATGTATGTTTAGATATAAGTTTGTATGTATGCATATATGTTTATGCATGTATGTATGTACATATATGTGTGTATGTATACAAGATGGAAAGCATATACGAGTATGGTTAGGTGGGAATGTACGTGGGTAGGTGTGTGCATGGATAGATGGTGCACATGAATGGAAATAAATGATCAATTTTCCAATCTAAAAGAATTGCCAGTATCTTTCAGTAATTTCCACAAGTTAAAAGATTTCTACACATTTTATAGGCTATACAGAAAAGAACAGACGGAACAACTGATTTTTATCGGACTTGGGAAGAATATAGACATGGTTTCGGGGATCCAAAGAATAACTACTGGATTGGTAAGAATACAAACTTTGAAATGAGAATTTTATATATATATATATATATATATATATATATATATATATATATATATATATATATATATATATATATATATATATATATATATATATATATATATATATATATATATATATATATATATATATATATATATATATATATATATATATATATATATATATATATATATATATATATATATATATATATATATATATATATATATAGATATAGATATATAGATATATATATATATATAGATATAGATATATATATATATACTTTATGAAAAATCCAATTTTTGGTACAGTAAAGTATTGATATATCCAATGAAAAAATCAAGAATCACAAGACTCGAATAATCATTTTAACTGTAAGCGCTTTCTGCCTTTTAATGGCTCTTCATTTTGTTACTGTCTGAAGAGCTATTAAAAGGCAGAAAGCGCTTACAGTTAAAATGATTATTCGAGTCTTGTGATTCTTGATTTTTTCATTGGATATATATATATATATATATATATATATATATATATATATATATATATATATATATATATATATATATATATATATATATATATATATATCACTAAAATCCAACAACACTGTATATCCTAACTGTCGGATCTACTAAGTAGATACTAGGTGACAGATGGAAATTTATATAAAGCACTGAAAATGACCAACGACACGAACAATAAAAATTGTCAAATTTTCGGGACGACCTGTCCCTTCCTCAGGACAAAGAAAAAAGTTAAGAGGTCATAAAAACAAAGGAAACAGAGAAACAAAAACAACTAGCACTACTTCTAAACTACCAAACACTTAATATTTACAGTGTTACATTTTTAATTTGAAGTTTATAAAAAGTTGTGCAGGAAGAAATCCGGAGCGCTATGAACTGCGTCCGGTCTATCGGGTGTACTCTGGTGAAGTGCGATTTATATAATTGAACGAACTGATTATCGCTAATTAATTACGACCAATTAGTAAATCGTACACTGTCTTATTCTCTCAATATAGCGTAACTATACATGATAAAAAGAAATTAAAGAAAAATAATATGAAAGGGCAATTTTAAAATATGAATTTGGATATATTATAAATTTGGAAATCGGATAAAGAAATAAACAAAAATGTAAGCTATAAATATTTGCGTAGATTTTTCCAGAATGCGAATAAACGGTAAAGTTTACACTATATAGAGAGAATGAACTTGTTTGTTACAATCCGGGATAGGATCTAGTTCACGTTCATCCTGGTGAAGTCATTTAGTTTGTTAATACCATTAGGGCGGAATGACTTCAGCCTGTGCATCCAGAACTTTTCCTTGCCTTTTCTCTGAGCGTCTGTCCATCTTGGATTATGGTCAATAACCACAGCTGTCATGTCCTCCCATTTGTGACCTTCAAGGTTGAAATGTTCCCCAACGGGCTCATTTAGCTTTTTTGGTCCTAATGGTAGAACGGTGATTATTGACTCTCCTGCGGAGATCTCCTGTTTCACCAACATACAGTTTGGAGCAAACTTTGCAACTGATGAGATAAATGCAGTTGTCTGTTTGACAGGACAAATTCCCTTTAAAACTTGCTCTGACAGACGATGTCTTCTCTTTAAGTACAGCACTGACACAGACAGCTTTAACAGTCCCGTTACAGGCAACAGCTACAAAATATTAGGGAATTTGTCCTGCCAAATTGAGAACTGCATTTATCTCATCAGTTGCAAAGTATATATATATATATATATATATATATATATATATATATATATATATATATATATATATATATATATATATATATATATATATATATATATATATATATATATATATATATATATATATATATATATATATATATATATATATATATATATATATATATATATATATATATATATATATATTGATTTGCTGACGGTGGACTTTACAACTTTACAGAACTTTACAATCATCGAACGGGACAAAGATCTGCAACAACTTATACAGAAATCGGACTTAATTCACAGCCAACGACAACCACCCAAAATATTAACCAGAGCTAAATTTCAACTCCATTCCTGAACAATACACAGTATCAAAATGCGGTGATCCCAGATATGATACCTGCCCTTATCTACGAACATGATCCTCTATTATTTTCAAGTGTGGAAAAATATTTTTTGTAAATGAAAACATGTCGTGTAAAACCAAAAATTTTCTTTATTGTATAACTTGTAACAACTGCGGAGAGGAATACATCGGTCAAACCGGATCCCAATTAACCGCCCTCATGCGCGTCCACCGTCAGCAAATCGATAATCAGAGCATCAGAAACACGCCATGCAGTGAGCATTTCGACATTTGCTTTCAAGGAAACTACTTTGTCTTTCCATTTTATAAACTTAGGCTTGATTCAGCCGTAATGAGAATAGTGAAAGAGAACTACTTTATAAATCTGTTTTCACCAAAACTGAACAAATATTAATATTTTGATAAGTTCCTGTCTTTTTTGTATAATTAATTTCTTAAATACTTTGTTTATTGAGACTGAGAAAATCATGATTTATTGTCCAATTCAATTTTCCCGAACTTTTACGTTATAGTATGACGTCATGGATTTATTTCTTCCCTGCAAAGACTCTCATAACGTCATGACGTCATAGTTAACGTTACCAAGCAAAACAAATCAGTTCAAAGTATGTACACTTGAAGACGGATTATTAAATCCAGAAAGCGCTTGTGTTAAATGAAATTTGGAAACTGTGCATTTTCTTTTTCTTTTATGATTATCTTTACTGTGCATCATCTTTTAACAACTTCTGAATTATATATGTAGTGGTTTAGATTTTTATTTCATAGCCCTGGTTTCGTAAATTATATTTTGCAAGTATTTGCTGGTATTTCAGTCTGATAATTCTATTTACCTTATGTTTTCAGTTGTTACTTACGTAAAACCCCTTTATTAATTGTCTTTTACCAGTTAGGACATGTGTTGACATTCAACATGTTTTACTTTTTAAACAGGAAGTGCCATCCATGTTGGGAGTCTTTCCATAGTACTTTTGGTAGCTGTGTTCTGATTGGTTAAGTTAGTTGTAGGATCTTGATGTTCATTGGCTTTTATTTTTGGGCCTAGCTAGGGTATTTAAAGCCGTTTTCGTATAGTTTTCTTCAATTGGGTTGGGGAACACAACCTCATGGTTAGTTCCTCTTTACTGTGCTAAGAAAACCTCATGGTTTATGAGCACTATTTGAATAGTACCTTAGAGTTCTAAGAAAACCTCATGGTTTAACAGTACTCTAGGTCTTAGTTAGCTTTAGTTTCATGTTTTTCACAAGTTCTAGGTTTTTGTTAGGAAACAGTTAGGATGTAGGATTTATAGAGTTAACTTAGTTTCCCCTTTCCAAGTCCAGCCTGGTCTAGGGATTTGTAGATAAAAGGTCTAATTCCTAGAACCACTATTCACTATTTATTTTTGATGTTGTTTATTTTCTGGGTTAGATATTTTTTTTTTTTGAGTCCAGATTTAGCATTATTATTTTAAGTTCAACTCTAGAGTGTTGATTAGTAGAGTTCATATTGGGTGATGTAGCTCATTTCCCTTACATTTTCCCAAATCATTGCCATTTATAGCAGTTCTTATAGGATTTTTGACCTTTTTCATAAGTATGGAAGCTCAGTAGGGGGATAAATTATTTTCATAGGTTTTCCACATTCCTCCCTTTATTATTGGTGAAATTTTGATTATTATTTATCATTTGTTATCATTTACAAAGGTTAATTCTCACTTTATTAAATTTATAAAACTTACAACTGTGTTTTCATTTAGCGTTGATCATAGTTCAGATATCCCCTTACCTGGGTTGACAATCATAACTGGAGGCAGTTTACTGCTTTAAGCCAAGTTGGCTAGTAACTTTGTTGATTTAACTATTAAAGAGTTCTTCTTCCGGTTATATATATATATATATATATATATATATATATATATATATATATATATATATATATATATATATATATATATATATATATATATATATATATATATATATATATATATATATTTGTTTTGCAATTATTTTGGCTTTGGTTTTTGTTTGTTGCTTTTTTTTAGTTTAAACAATGTTTATTTTGAATACTGAATAGATTGGACAACAGGCCAACAAATGCCCATAAATACTGCATTTAGTTGAGGGTAACATTGCAAATCTAACTCTAATAAACCAATTGTCTACTTAAACGGATCCGAAGTTGAAGAAGGTTTTCAAGGGGTGAAAAATTGCAATGTTATCCTTAGCTACATGCAGTATTCATTATATTTTACTGAATGTGTTTTTTTTTAATACAAAAAAAGGTTAAGCACGCGCATAAACTTCTTTCTGCCTGTTAAATAGCACATAATATTAGAATGATAAACAAAATTCTTTTTGATTTGTTTCATCTTTGTTTCTTCTGTTTCTTTTTCTTTGTTGCTATTTTTTTTTCTTTCTTTTTTAACAAGCATTCTGAGAGTATTGCATTAGCAATACTAGTCCTCTACCGGCAAGTGTAATCTGGTTCCCGTTAAGAATTGAAAATGCCATAATTCCGTCAAAAATTAATGAAGCGGGACGAAATGCAAACTTGATCTATAACTAATCAAGGTAAAGCCACATGCCAAAAATCAGCTCAATATTTACAAGCGTTTAGAAGAAAATTGCGGAAAACCCTTAAAAATTGAAAAGGCCGTAATTCCGTCAAAAATCAATGAAGCGGAACGAAATGCAAACTTGATCTGTAACTCATCAAGATACACTCACATACCAAAAATCAGCTCAATATCTGCAAGCGTTTAAGAAAAAAGTGCGGAAAACCAAGTGGGACAGACTGACAGACAGACAGAGGGACAGACAGACAGACAGACAGACAGACGGACGGACAGACTCAGAGGAATCCTATAGTCCCCTCCGGTTTCACCGGTAGGGGACTAATTAATAGGACTTGTAATTTTTAAGCTTTTAATT